AGCTCACACATTTTCTATAGAATCAGCTCACAGATGGCAGTAAGGTTGTCAGCCTTACGGGCCGGCCACCTTTTACCCCCAGGAAGGTTTCTGGTACTCATTTCGGTTAAAGGCTGAGTCGAATCCAGAGTCATAATGCGGCTGGAAAGATTATTTTAATTGAAAAATCAATGAACTCATCGGGAATCGAACCCTTGAAAATTCAGGCTTTTAGCATAGTGCCTCAACTAACTACGTTACCTGGCATGTGTGAAGTAGACTTACAAATTTGGACGTAACTTCCTGCTCTTAGAAGAGGACATTAGTGTTGTTTCAGTTATATGAGTAGGTTTATCGATAATCTCAACGTCGATATACAATTATTCCTTTCAACAAGAGCCCGCTCGACATTCAGCTTCAGGAACACATACAATATAGGAAGTAGCGGTCTTGTAGACTCTTTTTATGGCCATGAAACGTAGTGTTTAATTTGAGAGATCATGCATTACCAGTGCAACAGGAATTTAAGGAAATATATGGATACCAATGTGGGATGTTACACAAATATGAAATCCATGGTTCATGCAGTTCACCCAGTACTGTTAATGTTTTTTTTTTTAATATGGGATTCATAATCCGTTCCTGTAAAGAAATACATATGATCTACACGACAAAAATATATGTCTCGTTAATTGTAAGTTCTATGGCTGGGAAATTTGAATGTTTTATGTTGAAAATTTTGTTATTTTCAGCGGGATATTTCATGTAATAAACAAATCTGAAAAGGCTATCCATGTTTCCCTTGGAACATTTTAAAATACAAATTTAAAACAGGGGGATTATCCATAAGCGAACGAGACTTCAATCAAAGCAACATACTTTTCGAAGTTGCATTAAGAAGAGCTAAACATCAGTAAGGGAGGTGTACTTGACGCATCACGAATAAATAAACTGGCAGTAATTAGGAAAGAAATATGTTCTAAATGACACTGAACATGATGGACCAATGAAAGCGGTTTTCCTAGTGAAATTTTAAAGATATTTTTTCGTAACTGTAGAGAGATAATTGCCATAAATGGTGTTTACATGAACTGCGCATAGAACCCTGGCAAGAAAAACGCATTCAGACTGTATAAATATTACATTTTTTATATTATCCATCGTCTTGTATTTATCTAAACAACCTCCTGTTTATTTTTCAAAACACAACGTTTCGGAGGCTGAATTCTGTCTCCGTCTTTAGGTAAAATCTACTTAGTTGGGGCCAATCGATAGACCTAGGTCAGAAGATAAGGACTAGCTCTATCGATTGCGCCCAACTGAGTAGGTTTCACCTGAAGACCGAGACATAATCCAGTCTCCGAAACGTTGTGTTTTGAAAAATAAACAGGACGGTTTTTAGATAAATAATGGATAATGTCCAAAAACATAATATTTGTGCCAATGTTCCGTCGTCATTAACTTTTAGATCACGATGCTACCTAGAAGCCTGTCGCTGCAAACAGGTTACTTACCATAAAATTCATGTTGCTCAGATGTAGACAAAATCAGACAATTGATGACATTAAAGTGACTTTGCTAGCTTTTATAAGTGGTCATCCCCTCTCGCATCCAACCATTTGCACTTTCCTTTGTTTTGTCTTTATTTGGCGCCTCCATTCTCCAGTAATGTTCAAGTGGAGGGGATAACGGTGCACTCTACCGGTAGCTACAAGTTTCCTTCAGAACATTGCATGTTAAGATAGTTCAAGTTGGTATATCTGGGTCAAATCTGATTCATACCTTTAACAAGTTTTTGCTTATCAGCGGTAATGCATTTTTCGTGTGCTGTGTTATGTGAAAGGCAAGGGTGAAGCTGTGCGCGATGGCTCACGGTTATCTATGCCATGATCTGATTTTATGACACGTGATTATATTGTTGCGAAATCGTAACTTCAAGTTTAGAGTAAAGTGACAGAACTCTGGCACGAAAATTACATGCGCGTTCATAAAATTCTATTACACTGGAGAATGAAATTGAAAGGTTTAAAATTGAGGATATTCTTCAACACTTACTACATACTGGATTAAAACTAATATTCATTTGGTAGTCTGCGTTTATAGTATAATTAAATCTTATTGCAATGCAAGTATACCTGAATTTTACCCTCGCAATTCGTTGAATGTGGATCATGAATAATTTTGTAGCGTTAGAGTGACGGGAAGCATAATGAGGAACTTACGTTTCTCCAAGTATAATTAGAATGATCAAGAGAAGGAGGATGAGGTGGGCAGGGCATGTCGAACCAATAGGGGGGAAGAGGAATGCATATAAGATATTGGTGAGAAATCCAGAAAGAAAGATACAACGGGGAAGACCAAGACGTAGGTGGATGGACAATATTAAAATGGATCTTAGAGAGATAAGATGGGATGGTATGGATTTGNGTGTTTCCATAAAATGCTGGGAAATTTTTTGAGTAGCTGTAGAATTGTCGGCTCCTCAAGAAGGGCTCAGCCCCATGAGTAAGTAAATAAGTAAACAAGTAAAGTTTTCGACAATTACGCAACCGTAACTCTGGTATTTTCTTAGACAAATAATAAAATGACACTATGAAGAAAGCGAGGAATATTTTTGCGATGGGAAAACATTAATTTTGTAACATAGACCATGTGTGTGACGATGTTTAAAAGCGTTATTTTTTCTTACTACAGCCAAAGCTTGGAGGCACGCGGTAGCATAGTTGGTTGAGGCACTATGCTACAAGTCTGAAGGTCGAGGGTTCAAGTCCTGATGACGTCATTGGATATTTTTCAGTTGACCTAATCCTTCCAGCCGCACTATGGTCCTTGTGTCGACTCAGCCTCTAACAGAAATAAGTACCAGGAATTAAATAAATAATTTTCCTGGGGAGTAAAGCGCGGCCGGCGCGTACGGCTGACAACTTTACTGCCATCTTTGAGCCGATTATCTAGATAGTGTGGGACCCTCAACGTCTCACAGCCCTACGGGCTTTCACGGCCTGTTACAAAGATAGCTTAACTTTTTTACTTTACGTACAGCCAAAGCTTAGTAGAAATGTGATTCTGTTTGTCTTTGGGTTTATTGATATATAAACATCATCATATCGGGACTGGGACTGGGGTTTGTACTAACTGGTCGATTTCCCTGAAATCAGATATATAAACCCATATCACTATAAATCTCTCCACCTCTGTATTTATATAATATTCTCCAACTGACGATAATTTTTATACGAACTTCTTGAATGGTAGATACACTAGGGTTAACGTAGGGTCTTGATGATTTATGCGGTCGTAGACATTTTCAAGAATAAAACTATATTTTGAAAATGAAAATAGTATCATGGCGGTAGCGCTAAATGTTTGGGAACAATGTTGCTAACAATAGAGCAACATATAATCTTATGTTTTAAAATTGGGAGTTCACATCCTATAGATATGCCTACTAGTTTTACAGATGTATTGAATCAAATCATGCAGTACCTTGTGGTCAGTGGTCAACACTCTTACTTCAGAGTCCGGAGGTCCTAACTTCGAATCTTTGTCACACAGCCTGGCAGATTGATAGAAATATTTCCTCATTTTCCTCAGTCTCTTCAGTTGAATGTTGGCACAATACTTTAATATATGACCACGTATTTCCACATTCTTTCAGTTTAATTATGCACAAACATCCACCTACTTGACGTTTTATAATCTAACACAGTTGAAAGTAAAGCTATCCCTGTAAGGGGCCGTGAAGGCCCATAGGGTTGTGAGACGTTGAGGCTCCCACATTATCTAGACAATCGGCTCAAGGATGGCGGTGAGGTTGTCAGTCTTACGCGCCGGCCGCGCTTTATTCCCTAGGAAATTATTTAATTAGTTCCTGGTACTCATTTCTGTTAGAGGCTGAGTCGACCCCAGGGTTATAGTGTGGCTGGAAGGATTAGGTCAATTGAAAAGATCTAATGAACTCATCGGGACTTGAACCTGCGACCTTCCGGCTTGTAGCATAGGCCCTCAACCAACTACGCTACCGCGTGCCCCCAAATAACTCATGAACCAGTCAAAACCGCCGCCGTAATATTTATTTCCACTACGAGGTGAATATAGGAGCTTTTGAATATGTTGCTAAGGATAAACGAACATGAGCCAAACTCGTGGCGGTGTATCAGAGTGGCCTGCAGGAGAGACTAAGGCAACTTGGAATTCTGCAGGCCGCAACCAGTCTCAGTTACTAACGAACTTCACTGAGGACGGTTCTTGAGAATTTGGTGGCCAACAAAACCTGAAGGGAAATCCAAGCCTACACGCAGTAATAATATTAAATTGTGTCTTAAATTACAATAGGAACTGGGATAGTGTGGTCGGTTTAGCCACTAACTACGGGATCGACGACCAAGGGGTCGGAGTTTGAGTCTCGTTAGTGTCAAGAATTTTCTCCACGTCGTCCAGATCGGTTCTGGGGCCCACACAGTCTCATATCCATTGGGTGCCGGGAGCTCTTTCCCGGGGGTAAAGCTGCAGGGATATGAAGCTGACCACTCACCTCAAGCTAGTGCCAAGGCCAAGAAAATGTAGATCAATACATTCACTTCTCCCTACGCCTTCATAGCGTAGTGTTTAATTAGTTTACCTTTCTTATCGTAAGAGACGATGTATGAGTGTGTGGACTAGATTCATCTGACTCAGACAGGCAGACAGAGGGAGAGATAGAAGCATGTTCTAGCTGCTAGGCTTCCGAAATAAAAGACTTAATTCTTGCTCTCTAATGACGCTGTTTCAGCTACAGAATTTTATGATTCGAGAGCTTTGAATAGAGGATGGAAACATTGGAAAGTGAACCGGCGACTGGAATCATATGGTCATTTGTTCCAACCCCATGGAACAGAGTCCTTTTTGTTTACGGATTGCTTGCGACGATAGTCTTAGATACAAATTAATCCAGTTCACACCTTCATGAATTAATTCTTTTATGATACATTTAATATTATCTCCGCGTCTACGCATACGTCTGACAATATGCCTCTTCGCTTCTTATTTCTCGCTGAAATTATGTATGCATTTCTCATCTCTAATATGCGTGCTACATGTCATGCCCATATCATTCCTGCTGATGTAATTTCTTTAATAGTATTTCGTAAAGCCTGCCAACTGTGAGGTTCCTCTTTGCGAGATGATTCCCCTTAACTTCTTGCAACTTCCCATTTACATCCAACTGTTGTTCACAACATCCATGAGAGCAAGTTCCAAACTCACACAAAAACAATATGTTACAGTTTTGTATTCCGGTACCTTAATTCTACTTCTTAAATACGTAAAACAGTAAGATTATAAACCGATTGGTAACAAACATTTCCCAGTTTGTATCTGATCTTAATTCCTTCAAGGGTTTTATTTTCGTATAATATTTTCGCAACCAGATATTTAAATTAACAGATTCATAAATTAATGTCAAATTACAATATTCTCCTGCACTGAGGTGACAACAAATGTTCTTACGAATACACTGTGACGTATAGACCATTGCTAGGCAATGACTCGGCAAACACATTCCCGCTGGAGCCAACGCGCGCAATAGTATGACGTCTATTGCTGGGCAACGAATCAATAAACACGCCTATACCAATAAGGGAAAATAGAAGACGGTATTTTCTACGTGGTCCGAGCCGCGACAATTGCTATTTAATGGTGTGGTAAACACGCTTCATTAATATAGGCTGAGATTTCTGTGTGGTCCGTGCCGAGGATTTATCTTGAAGACAACTGACGTTACAATATTCCTAAGATTCGTCACCAGGAAACGCAAACACTATAGAGGAATAGCCATTATTATCAAATAAAAACTAGTGAAATTAGGCTGAGAAGACTTGGCGTGGAGTGATTTGTAGTTTGGAAATCATCAGTAGTGGTATAGTTGTTTGTAGTTACGACTTGTAGATGATCACTAAATCTCTTCACCAATCAGAACTCCTCCTATAGTCACTAATATATGTGACAATACTTAGTTACCCGTGTGTTTATGTCGGTTCTAAGCACTAATTTAGTATTCTGCCCACAGACACGAGTAAAAGAATTCACGAAACAAAAGAAAAAGCGCACATGTCCTTGTAGTAGCTCACGTCTTAATAGTGTCTAACTGCGATGACTTCAAGCAGGGAGAAGTCGTGATGCTACTTCTGATGAGAGAGTTGCGATTGCAGTCGTTGTCTCCAGAATTCAATGCAATAGGCTTCATGCTTTATATTTTACAAGACTCCAACCTGAAAGCATAATGACAACTTGCTCTCTGTCGTGACCAAACACAGAGGTGCGTGTAGCGTAACAGAATTCAGGGCTATTAATGTCTGAATTTAATTCCTAATAGAGCCTGTTTCTGCAATAATTCATCCTTTCTCTCCTCAATCGTCGCTCATACTCTCCTACCAATTGTATTGTCGCGTATTGGGCGTATATCGCGACAAATAACTTCACCCCGTATTTTATATAGCGAATTTTATTTCACATTCGCTCTTACAATCACCCAAATTACAGATTTACG